TGTATACGCTGAGCACCGGCGTCATCTGACCCACTGTGTATACGCTGAGCACCGGCGTCATCTGACCCACTGTGTATACGCTGAGCACCGGCGTCATCTGACCCACTGTGTATACGCTGAGCACCGGCGTCATCTGACCCACTGTGTATACGCTGAGCACCGAAGTCATGTGACGCACTGTGTATACGCTGAGCACCGAAGTCATGTGACGCACTGTGTATACGCTGAGCACCGCCGTCATGTGACCCACAAATGTAGGATGACTCCCTCCATACATGACCCGGCACCACATCGATCCTCCCCACTGACTGCAGACTATCATGGAGCGCTGCGTGCCGCCATCACACGTCTGTTCTTCTATAACAGGTCATATACCAAGTCCACCAGAGGACCAATCACGTCTGGAAGCGGCACACCGAGCAACAGCTGAGGGTGAAGATCCAATACGACGTCAGTATAGAAAAGTGAGTACATCCATCACATGGCTCCGACATATACCACAGCGCTGTACAGAGGACACTGAGCCGGTCACATCAGTCTCTGTATAGAGGAGCTTACACTCTAATGTCCCCTCCCCCCACAGTCACATCAGTCTCTGTACAGAGGAGCTTACACGCTAATGTCCCCCCTCAGTCTCTGGAGGTTATTCTGGGATGGTCGGATCGGTCACACTGCTAGAACACAATCACTATGTTTATAATTGGGGGGTCGGTGATTCATCTCGGCGCCACCTTGTGGTTGTCTTGGGGTCTGTCGGGCTCATCGGTGAGCTGCGGTCACTCCTCGTGTCCTCCAATCATCAGGTTCTGTTTGTATTTTGTAGGTTGCTGCCAACGAAGAAGAGACTCGTCCAGGTGAGTTCTGGTATTTGTTCTCCAACCAATTGTGAGGTGAGCTGAGGTGGAAGCGGCTGAATCCAGATAAATCCGTCATACACGGGCAGATCTGAGATTGCTGTAGATGGGCCATGATGTATTGTAAATTATTTTTTCCCTCATTGTGCTGGATTTTCGGGGTTCCGGCCTTGTGATGGGTATAGGGATCTCTCTTTATATGAAGCCGGGTGGGAGTTGGGGTTCCGGCTCTCTCTCTTTATATGAAGCCGGGTGGGAATGGGGGTTCCGGGTCTCTCTTTATATGAAGCCGGGTGGGAATGGGGGTTCCGGCTCTCTCTTTATATGAAGCCGGGTGGGATTGGGGGTTCCGGCTCTCTTTTTATATGAAGCCGGGTGGGATTGGGGGTTCCGGCTCTCTTTATATGAAGCCGGGTGGGATTGGGGGTTCCGGCTCTCTCTTTATATGAAGCCGGGTGGGATTGGGGGTTCCGGCTCTCTTTTTATATGAAGCCGGGTGGGATTGGGGGTTCCGGCTCTCTTTTTATATGAAGCCGGGTGGGATTGGGGGTTCCGGCTCTCTCTTTATATGAAGCCGGGTGGGATTGGGGGTTCCGGCTCTCTCTTTATATGAAGCCGGGTGGGATTGGGGGGTCCCGCTCTCTCTCTTTATATGAAGCCGGGTGGGATTGGGGGGTTCCGGCTCTCTCTTTATATGAAGCCGGGTGGGATTGGGGGTTCCGGCTCTCTCTTTATATGAAGCCGGGTGGGATTGGGGGTTCCGGCTCTCTCTTTATATGAAGCCGGGTGGGATTGGGGGGTTCCGGCTCTCTCTCTTTATGAAGCCGGGTGGGATTGGGGGTTCCGGCTCTCTCTTTATATGAAGCCGGGTGGGATTGGGGGTTCCGGCTCTCTCTTTATATGAAGCCGGGTGGGATTGGGGGTTCCGGCTCTCTCTTTATATGAAGCCGGGTGGGATTGGGGGTTCCGGCTCTCTCTTTATATGAAGCCGGGTGGGATTGGGGGTTCCGGCTCTCTCTTTATATGAAGCCGGGTGGGATTGGGGGTTCCGGCTCTCTCTTTATATGAAGCCGGGTGGGATTGGGGGTTCCGGCTCTCTCTTTATATGAAGCCGGGTGGGATTGGGGGTTCCGGCTCTCTCTTTATATGAAGCCGGGTGGGATTGGGGGTTCCGGCTCTCTCTTTATATGAAGCCGGGTGGGATTGGGGGTTCCGGCTCTCTCTTTATATGAAGCCGGGTGGGATTGGGGGTTCCGGCTCTCTCTTTATATGAAGCCGGGTGGGATTGGGGGTTCCGGCTCTCTCTTTATATGAAGCCGGGTGGGATTGGGGGTTCCGGCTCTCTCTTTATATGAAGCCGGGTGGGATTGGGGGTTCCGGCTCTCTCTTTATATGAAGCCGGGTGGGATTGGGGGTTCCGGCTCTCTCTTTATATGAAGCCGGGTGGGATTGGGGGTTCCGGCTCTCTCTTTATATGAAGCCGGGTGGGATTGGGGGTTCCGGCTCTCTCTTTATATGAAGCCGGGTGGGATTGGGGGTTCCGGCTCTCTCTTTATATGAAGCCGGGTGGGATTGGGGGTTCCGGCTCTCTCTTTATATGAAGCCGGGTGGGATTGGGGGTTCCGGCTCTCTCTTTATATGAAGCCGGGTGGGATTGGGGGTTCCGGCTCTCTCTTTATATGAAGCCGGGTGGGATTGGGGGTTCCGGCTCTCTCTTTATATGAAGCCGGGTGGGATTGGGGGTTCCGGCTCTCTCTTTATATGAAGCCGGGTGGGATTGGGGGTTCCGGCTCTCTCTTTATATGAAGCCGGGTGGGATTGGGGGTTCCGGCTCTCTCTTTATATGAAGCCGGGTGGGATTGGGGGTTCCGGCTCTCTCTTTATATGAAGCCGGGTGGGATTGGGGGTTCCGGCTCTCTCTTTATATGAAGCCGGGTGGGATTGGGGGTTCCGGCTCTCTCTTTATATGAAGCCGGGTGGGATTGGGGGTTCCGGCTCTCTCTTTATATGAAGCCGGGTGGGATTGGGGGTTCCGGCTCTCTCTTTATATGAAGCCGGGTGGGATTGGGGGTTCCGGCTCTCTCTTTATATGAAGCCGGGTGGGATTGGGGGTTCCGGCTCTCTCTTTATATGAAGCCGGGTGGGATTGGGGGTTCCGGCTCTCTCTTTATATGAAGCCGGGTGGGATTGGGGGTTCCGGCTCTCTCTTTATATGAAGCCGGGTGGGATTGGGGGTTCCGGCTCTCTCTTTATATGAAGCCGGGTGGGATTGGGGGTTCCGGCTCTCTCTTTATATGAAGCCGGGTGGGATTGGGGGTTCCGGCTCTCTCTTTATATGAAGCCGGGTGGGATTGGGGGTTCCGGCTCTCTCTTTATATGAAGCCGGGTGGGATTGGGGGTTCCGGCTCTCTCTTTATATGAAGCCGGGTGGGATTGGGGGTTCCGGCTCTCTCTTTATATGAAGCCGGGTGGGATTGGGGGTTCCGGCTCTCTCTTTATATGAAGCCGGGTGGGATTGGGGGGTTCCGGCTCTCTCTGTATATGACGCCCGGTGGGATTGGGGGGTTCCGGCTCTCTCTGTATATGACGCCGGGTGGGATTGGGGGTTCCGGCCGTGTGATATAACTCTCTGATTGGACCGTCTCTGTCTGCAGAACAAGCTCTTCCCACAAGCCATTTCCTACCTCCAGAAGACCTTCCAGGTGCGCAGACCCAGCGGCTCCATCTTGCTGAGCAGGTAACGTCTGACTCCATCCTCTCCGGCATGTGTCTGGATGATGAGGGTTGTAGTTATACAATATATTATACCGATAACCTGAAGCTGAGCACATGCGATACAATCTGTGTTAGGTCTGCTGACCTCCTACGTAGTGCGCGGAGCCGTCTGATTGGATAGATCCGGTGGAGCGAGCTGCACACAGATTGTAACGCGTGTGCTGAATCTCGTCATGCGTTGTCATGTGTCGGACGCACGTCCCACTGAGAACATCTGCCCATCCCCCAACCTGCTGCCGTTATCATGTGACTCCACCGGTATGAAGTAGCAGCACACGCCTGGTTCATGCATCCCTCTCCTCGCCTCATAACACGCGTTCCTCCCATTCCCCTCATCACCCCATCCCCCTCCCCCCCCCCCCCCCCCGCCCCGCCCGCCCCCC